CGTCGCTGGCTCCCAGAGCGCACCTCACGAAGCCCAGATGGCCCGGAGGCTCCATCATGGCGCGAACAGCTGGGAGCAGCTTGGGCCAGGACCTTCGTTGATGTTCGAAGCGCTTGGGGCGTTTTTGTTTGTTTGTTTGCTTGCTTGCTTTTCGATGAGTTTCGACGTTTCGCCTTTTTGGCCAACCAAAACGGGGGTGGGGAAACAGCAGCCCAACACATGATAAACAACGGAAGTGCAACACGGATCCGAGCCGAGAATGGTGCGAACGAGAATCCCAAACCAGAGCACAGCGCACCCCGGAGTGGAACCCAAAGCGCTGATCTCCAGAACACGGAGCAGAACGCCCCCAGTGCCGACACCACCCAACGCCAGGACCACTTCCAGCAGTACTAGCACCCGAACTACTCGCGCGTCTCCTCCTCCTCCTCCTCCTCCTCCTCCTCCTCCTCGTCCTCGTCCGCGTCCTCCTCCTCCTCCTCCTCCTTCTCCTCCTTCTCCTCCTCCTCCTTCCTCCTCCTATTCTCCGCCACCCCCCTCCTCCACTCCTCCTCCCTCTCTCCTCCTCCTTCCTCTCCTCGCGGAGAGAGGGTGGTCGCCAAAACACCGGCGCCCGCGTTCGATGGGCGCTGAGGCGACGCGCGCAAGGCCTGATATCCTCCGGCTGCACACGACCGCTCGTGGCTGTGCGGGGCGGCCCTGGCCGGCGAAAGGCCGCCGCGGGCGCTGGCGTGCGGGGCGGTGCAAGCAAGGTGGTCGGCGTGCCCCGAACGTCTGTTGCACAGAGATACGGCGGCGAGTGTGGTCCTCCCTACTTCCAGCCTTACACTTCCTCCTCCTACTCTCTCCTCCATCCTCTTTCTCCTGCTCATCCTCCTTCTGCCTGCTTCACCCTTTCTCCCCACCTCATGCCTGCTCCATCCTCGCCCTCCTCATCTCTCCCACGTCCACCGCTCCCTCCTCCTCCTCCTCCTCCTCTCTCTCCTCATCATCTCCTCTCATCCTCCTCCTCCTTCCTCCCCCGTTCTCCTCACCCCTCCTCCTCCTCTCCTCCTCCTCCTCCTCCTCCTCCTCCTCCTCCTCCTCAGGACCCTTACACTCGCCAGGGCTTTAGCGCAGGTGTATTCAGCAGACGTTTGTGGGGGGTGGATTTGTGACTTCTGCATTCGGGGCATCGTGGCACATCGTCAGGCGGCGGCCAGAGGGGCTTCGGGGCATCGCACGCCTGCCTGTTGCCCCCGTGACGGGTTGGGTCACCGCTTCGCGGATGCACTGGCCGGATCTCGGCTCCTGGTGCCTTGTGCCGTGCCGTTGTGGGTGTCGTGTCGCCGCGCGGGATAGCAAGTACTGGGCTTGCGGGCTTGTCCCGCGGCGGTGGTGGCCTCTGGCGGCTGTCTGTCGCGCCCCTGTCCTTCCCGCCCTGTGCGGGGTGATTTCCGCCGTTTGGCGCCGGCGCCCTTGGCAGGCACAGTCACTCGGAGGCTGCGTAGAATCCTCCTCCTCCTTCTCCTCCTCCTCCTTCTTCCTCTCCCTTCCCCTTCTCCTCTTCGTCCTCCTCCTCGTCCTCCTCCTCGTCCTCCTCCTCCTCCTCCTCGTCCTCCTCCCCCTCCTCCTCCTCCTCCTCCTCCTCCTCCACATCCTCCTCCTCCTCCCCCTCCTCCTCGGTTACACGGTTGCCCGCGCAAGTCCCGAGTCCATTCCAGGAGCAGAAGAAGGACACACAGAAGGAGCATCCCTCCCCAAGCCTCCAAAAGCCTCCACGGCAGGCAGGTCCGGCGCCGCAGGAGGGGAGTGTGGGCCCAGGGGATCGAGTCCGGTCTGCCCTGAGCCACGGGCCCTGGGCATGCCGCCATGAGCTGGCTTCGGAGTGCCGCCTCGGCACGCGCCGTCGTCCAGGCCCCTTTCTCCTGCCTCCCGCCCGCCCCTCCAGTGCAGTGCAAGCTGTGACGGAAACGGGCCCCCTCACGCGTGCCGAATCGGCGCGCGTCGTCGTCCCGGCCCCCTTCTCCTGCCTCCCGCCCGCCCCTCGAGCGCAGTGCAGGCCGTGACGGAGAAGGGCCCGCTCCTGCATTCCGAGCTTTTGGGGCTGGGGGAGGGGGGAGGGCGAGGTGCGTGGACCCTTTAATCAGATGGGGCATACCGCCCAAGTGCCCCACACAAACACTCACACACACAAGCACACATACAAACACACAAACACACACAGCACACACACAGCACACACACACATACACACAGCACAGACACACACACACCACACACGTACACACCACACCACGCGCCATAATACTCGAAGCGGCCCCCACCCTTCGCGGTTTAGGGTGTTTGTGAGCTCATTGTGAGACATGCTTGCGTTGAAGCAAGCCCGTGCTCAATTAGAAACCGAGGATTTCGATGCCCATGATCTTGAGGGAACACTTCAGGGAAGCAGCAACCATTGGCAAACGACGACGACAGGTTGCAGCAACTCGCAATTGATATGTGTGCCAGGACGCCGCGTACATGATTCGTTGTGTTATTCCAGGTAGCCATAGTCAACACTTTACCAACCCATGCTGCAACAACAATCCGAGGCTGAAATGCAGATACACTCCCATCGAAACAACACACCTGCCAAGACGATATCGACGGCAGTCACCGCTGCTGGCCTTCCGCCTTCCGCCGGGGGGCCGATGCCAGAGCCGGGAGCACCCGGCCGAGCTCCGCAGCCCCGCGCTCGAGGACGGCCGCGGGCGTCCAGAGACGGGCGGCGAGCCCTGCGGTCTGCCGGAGCCGCCGGCCTCCCCGAGAGCCGCAGGCTCGCATCGGCACCGGCCTCCGCGGCGACGATGCCAGGCGGATCGTCGTGATGGCCAGCCCCTTGCCCTGGAAGGGGGGTGCAAGCAGACGCTGGCGACGGACTCCCTGCAGCTGCGCCGCTCGTGCAGCGTGCAGCTGGAGTCGGCGACCAGCTCGGGAGAGGGCCTCTCCTGTGGCTCCGTGCTGCTGCAGGCACCGCGGCGACTCGCAGCGACGAGCTCCTCCGCGAGGAAGCCCCGCACAGCCTGCGGATCCACCCGCGCATGCTCTCCCCCTCCCTCAGAGCCGTCAGCCGCGGGCGGGGAGGGTCCCCGCGGCTGGATGCTGGGCAGCCGCCTCCTCGAGGTCCGCCAGGGCCTCCGTCGCAGCCGCGTCCTCGAAGCGAGGGGCCGCCACGGTGACGACCGACGGGATGAAGACGGGCGCCTCCGCGCGCAGCCTCCCCTCCTGCACCACGAGCCTCAAGCCGCCGCCCATGCTGGGCGCGGCGCAGCACTGCTGGCCTCGCAGTCGCCACGCTGATGCCCTGTGCGTCCGCGTGCAGGGCCGCGTTGCGGCGGAGGGCCTCGAGCCAGGAGGGCTCCCTCCCTGCCAGCTTCGCCTGCCGGGTGGGGAGCAACGCCTGCAGCCGCGGGGCGACCTCGTCGCTGCCGACCACGCTGCGTAAGACCATCTCAGCTGCCTCCATGCTGTCGCAGAACCGCGAGAGCTCCTGCGACAGCCTCGCGATGGCGTTGTCCGCCGACCAGCGCGCCTAATCAGGACCAGCTTTTCGCTGCGCCGCTGAGCGCCTTGGCGCGCCCTCCGCGCCGTCCCGCGAACCATCTCCCAAGCAGCGGCATGCCACACCTGCAGCAGCTTCAACTCAAGGGCGCCATGAGCAACCGGATTGAGCAATGGGTGGCTCGCTCGTTGTTGAGCGGCATGAGCCAACATGGCTACGGATATCTTACTGTTATTCTTCCTCCTCCTCCTTCTCCTCCCCCTCTTCTTCCTCCTCCTCTTCCTCCTTCCTTTGTCCCCCTCCTCCTCCTCCTCCTTCTCCTCCTCCTCTTCCTCTTCCGCTGGAAGGCTCGGGCCTCGAGTCTGGGTCGGGGGATCCCCAACCGGCGCGGCCGCACCGTGTGGTGAGCCAGGGGTACTCCCAGACTCCCTCGGGGCATGGAAAGATCACGACGTGTGGCTTCGTTTGCTGCTTTCTGGCCCTGGGGGCCCTCGCCAGGCCCTGGGGCCGCCAAGAAACGACGCAGGACGAGAAGCCGATCCCCAGGAGATGGGTCGAGACATCCGTGAAGGAGCAGGAGGAGGAGGAGGAGGAGGAGGAGGAGGAGGAGGAGGAGGAGGAGGAGGAGCAGTATGAGGAGTGAGGACATGGAGAGAGAGTGGAGCGGGGGAGCAGCAGGCGGAGGAGGAGGAGTAAGGTGGAGGAGGAGAGAAGAGGCGGGGGAGGGAGGTGGAGGAGGAGGAGAAGGAGGAGGAGGGGGGGAGGAGGACGAGGAGGAGGAGGAGGAGGCGGGAGAGGAGGAGGAGGAGGAGGAGGAGGGGGGGAGGAGGAGGAGGAGGAGGAGGATGGTGGAGAGGAGGTAGGGGAGGAGAGAAGAGAGAGAGGAGAGAGGAGAGAGGAGGGAGGAGAGAGGAGAGAGGAGAGAGGACAGAGGAGAGAGGAGAGAGGACAGAGGAAAGAGGAGAGAGGAGAGATCAGAGAGGCGATAGGAGGGAAGAGAAAGGAGAGATGAGAGAGGAGAGAGGAGGAGGAGGAGGTGGAGGAGGACCAGTGCAAACCCAATAATCATCAACGATGTTGGGATACACCCACCCTCCAAGCTCTCTCTCCATAGGCGCCTACAACGATTCAATTCCATTGAGGGAACTGCCTCGTTGAAAAACAACCGTTGGAAGACCCTCAGGCATGCCAATCCATTGTTCTCGGGAGTCCAACGCCACGGATCAACCTGACTATTGCGTGTTGACGATCCTGAATCGGGTTAGAACGCCATTCCTGGGACTTCAACACAGCGAATCAACGTGACTGTTGCGCCCGCGTAATCCTGAATCCGTTCAAAACGCCATTTCTAGTACGCTCATGATGGGAGTCAATGGCACTCCTCCAAATTTTGTAAACGAATGTGCGCGGCGCCAAGGCGAGAGCCACATGTTGAAATGGAACCGCCCTCGATCAGAGATTCGCTTGTATGCTTCCAACGAGTGTGCGCCGCGCTAATGCGAGAGCCACATGTTGAAAACGACCCGCCCTCAAATCCGTGAAGCTCTTGCACATGTTTAAAACGAATGTGCGCCGCGCTAAGGCGAGAGCCACAGTTTGAAACCACCCGCCGTCAATCCGTGAACCTCTTGCAAATGTTGAAAACGACTGTCCGCCGCGCTAAGGCGGGAGCCACATTTTGAAAACCACCCGCCCTCAATCCGTGAAGCTCTTGGAAATGTGGAAATGTTCAAAACGAATGTGCGACGCGCCAAGCCGAGAGCCAGGCTTTGAAAACGACCCGCCCTCCATCCGTGAATATGTTGCCATTTTTAAGCTTCAGAATCGCACATGGTGAGGAAGTCTCAGGCGAAACGCCTGGCCCGCCCTAACAACTGGCCTCAGGGTGCGAAAACAGGGAGACGTTATTTATAAGGAAAGGGAATAGAGAGGAGGAGGAGGAGGAGGAGGAGGAGGAGGAGGAGGAGGAGGAGGAGGAGGAGGAGGAGGAGGAGGAGGAGGAGACGTAGGAGGAGGAGGAGGAGGAGAAGGAGGGGGAGGCTTTGGCGTGGCCGCGCGCGCGCGTATTGGGACTTGTGTCGCTCGCCGATCCGAGGCATGGGCCCACGCGGTCCCAAAGGGACCACGAGGAAGCCCCACCCCCCCCTCAGGAGGGCGCACCAGAAGCCTCATCCTCCTTCTCCCTTTCCTCCCTCTCCTCTCCCTCTCCTCCCTCTCCCCCCCCCCTCTCCTCCCTCTCCTGCTCCCTCTCCTCCTCCTCTCCCTTTCCTGCCCCTCTCCCTCTTTCCTCCTCCCTCTCCCTATCCCCTCCTTCTCCCCTCTCCCTCCTCCCCCTCGCTCTCCTCCCTCTTCCTCTCCCTCCTCGCCTCCCTCTCCTCCCTCTCCTCCATCTCCTCCCTCTTCCCCTGCTCCCCCTCTCATTCCTCTGCTCCCTCTGGTGACCGTTCCCCTCCTCCCTCTCCCCCTCCCTCTCCTTCCTCTCCTCCTCCCCCTCCTCCTCCTCCGCCTCCGCCTCCGCCTCCTCCTGCCGGGCCTCCGCTCCTGTCTCGGGCGGCTGGTGCCTCCAGCGCCCCAACGGGTGCGGTGGCGGACCGTGGGGGGAGGCCCGTTGGGGACGCCGAGGTCCTCGACGCGGCCCGTCGCCGCACAGCTTCGGGACCCCCCGGAGGTGAGGTACTGCGGCCGCGCGTGCCAGCAGTCCGACTGGAAGGCGCGCCACAGGCAGGGGTGCCTGGCGGCGGCGGAGTCGCTCGCGGGCGCGGCCGCGTGGGCGCTGCTGGCGCCCTGAGGCGCCTCTGCCGGGCGCGCCGCCGGGGAATTTTTTGGGGCGGCTCGCGGCCGCCCGCGGCGTCGGCAGGCGCTCGGGGGGCGCGGCCGCGTGGGCGCTGCGGGCGCCCTGAGGCGCTGCTGCCTGGCGGCTCGTGGCTCGCGGCCGCCCGCGGCGTTGGCGGACGGACAAACAGAAGTCGCGACGCGCTCGCGCGCTCGCGCCCGCCCGCGTCACGAAGAAAGTCGCGGCGGACGGGTTGTCGCCATCTGCTGCCCCGAGTTACCGTCAGCAACAAGACTCGGGATGACACGCCATGACCTCGGGGCCGAGGTTACGAACAGATCATGGCGTCGGATGTCTGGGTCGGCAAGGGGGCGGGCAATGACGCTCAACATCAAACCTGGGAGTGCGACTCTGATGCTATATACATGTGTATGTTCGCATTTATGTATGTATGCGTGCATGCATGCACGTATCCATGTACGTATATATGTGGTTGTAGATGCATGTGCATATTGATAGGTCCATGTATGTTGGTATGTATGCGCGCATGCAGGTATGCTTAGATGTATGTATGCATGCATGCATGTATGTATGTATGTATTTATGTATGTATGTATGTATGTATGTATGTATGTATGTGTGTATGTGTGTATGTGTGTTTGTGTGTATGTGTGTATGTATGCATGTATGTATGTATGTATGTATCCATACATTCATGCATGCATGTATGTATGCATGTATGTATGTATGCATGTATGTACGTCTATCTGTATGTATGTATGTATGTATGTAAGTATGTATGTATGTATGTATGTATGTATGTATGTATGTATGTGTGTAGGTCTGTACGTGTGTACACACGCCTGTGTACGTGTGAAACGTTATGTAGATATTCATGTATGCATGTGCGCATGCATGCCTGTTTGCATGCATGCACGTATGTCTATGTATGTATGCATGTGTATGTGTGCGTATGTCTGCATGTTTGTATGCATGTATACATGTAGTACTCATGCATGTCTGTATGACTACATGTATGCATGCGTGTGCGCGTATGTAGGTATTCATGTATGTAGACAAGCGTGTTTGCATGCATACTTGCATATATGCATGCATGTTTGTGCGTATGGTTGTGTGCCTGCAAGTGCGCATGTGTGTACGGACTCATGTATATGTGCATGGCTGTATGTATGTGTGCATGCATGCGTGTATGTATGCATGGATGTACGCATGGATCCATGCATATATGTATGCAGGTGAGTGTGTGTGTATGCATGGTTGTACAGACATGTGTGTGTATGCATGCATGCAGGTATGTATTCATGCATGCGTGTATGCATGTGTGCATGCATGCATGCATGTATACATTGATGCGTGTGTGCATGCATGCATGCACGTGCGTGTATGTATGCATGTCGGTATGTATGCACGCGTGCGTGTATGTATGCATGCCTGTTTGTGCTCTCTGTATGTACGCGTGCGTACATGTGTATGTATGCATGCATGCAGGCACGCATGTATGTATACATACACGCACGCATGTATGTGCATGCGTAGCATCATTTCATGCATGTACGCATGTATGTCTGTAGCTATGTTGGTATGTGTGTATGTCTGTCTACAAGTAAGTGTGTATGTATGTCGGTATGTATGCATGCATGTTTGCATGCATGCATGCACATATGTATGCATGCATTTTACGAATCAATGCACGCATGTATTGATGTAGGTAGGTAGGTCGGTAGGTAGAGAGGCAGGTAGGCATGCATGCCGCAGCAACCCGCAGTTGCAGATGAGAGTGAGGGGACGGCGGGGACGTGGGCAGTCTGCGAGGCTCGGAAGAAGCCCGCCGCAGGCACCAACAGCTTCTTACAACTTATACAGGGCCTGCCGCAGGCGCAGTTATTTCCCGACCATACTGTGGTGTTGGGCCCTCGTTTAGAAGAGACAGTCCCAGTGGCAGCCTTTTTCATCTCCTCTCCTCTCCCCTCGTCCTCCTCCCATTCCTCCCTCCTCCCGTCACCCCCGTCACGTTGGCAAACCCCTCACACCATCCGTGGACCCATACGGAGCTCCACCGAACGCCCCGGTGGCATGGTTCGCATGCCAGCCCCCCCTCCACTTTGGCACACCCCTCAGACGCGTCGTGGCCCCATAGGGAGCTCCACCGAAGGCTCCAGTGGCATGGTTCGCATGCTGCGCCCCCCTCCACTTTGGCGCACCCCTCACACGTTTCGTGGCCCCACACGGTGCTCCA